AGATGTAGTTATCTTTCTTATGTATACCAATGAGTCAAATAATCTCGTGTCACTTTCCTCATGAATAGGATAGCGCTAACAACATTATGCAATGTTTCATGGTTTTGTGTTTGTCGGTGGCGAGAAAATACCAAAAAGACCATCAGAGCTAGAAAAAAAATTATCATACCGATAAAAATAATATACAAAAATACCAATCAGGTGATTTTAACTGTTTATTTTCCACCCACTTCGTTTGTTCTCCATTAACGACTTTTTTTTATTACTTGAGGATGATAATAAGAAGATAAAAAGAAAAGGGTTAAGTGTTCAGGATTAGAAATATGGGGAAATAAGATTTATAGCTTTCATGAATTTCATTTCCACATGCAATGGAAGTATAAATAAGACGTTACATTTTGTATGAATCGTTTTTTATATAAAAAATTACTTTCAGAAAATAAATTTTTTATGCCAAATAATCAAGAGTCTACCCTAGGTTTTCCCTTTGTCTGTTCTGCATATGGAAGGAAAATATTTTTACAAAATATCTCCAACTTCTTGATTTCTCTTCAAATAATATAAGACTTTTGTTTTATTCAATTTTAGACTCTTCAAATAATATAAGACTTTTGTTTTATTCAATTTTAGACATATGCTAAAGCAACGAAAGAAATTGTTGTAAGCTTGTTTTTATCTTGATAAAGTACCAAACAATGTTGGAATAATCAATAACCATTTTTCTATTAGGGTGTATTTGACAATCTTTTAAAACTGGTTGATAATTGAACTTGGTTTAGTTTTGAATATTTTTGGCAAAAAATTGGGCAGAATTGGCCAAGTTTTTCTTAAGAATCCTTTTAAACGAGTTCTAGTTTGGACCACACCTCCTCTGGACAAACTCCTATGACATTTAAGAATAGAATTGGCTTACGATGGATCATGGCCCACTTTTCGGTGTGTTCGACAACTCTTCAAAATGGGGCCGTGTTATAGCCTGAAAATAACTAAATGTTAATCTTTTTTGAATTGTCGACACGCGTCCCACACTGCGCAAGATCACACATGATCAGAGCCCAGACGACTCGAACCGTTACTGCAACCACTCCATAAACCGACAATTTACATGCCCGACTCGAAAAGTGGTACTTGCCGACCTACCTATCAGATCGAGCCCACAAGCCTCCACATTTAGCCCATTATCTTAGCCGACAAATCTCAAAGCCGACTAAAAATGTGGTACTTGTCGGCCTACCCACGAGATCGATCCTATAAGCACTCGCACTTAGCCTACTGTTTCAGCCGGCAACTCGCATAGCTGAGTAAAAAGGAAGTGTTAGTCGGCCCTCCACTGGGCGACTAAAGAGGCAGTATTTCTCATCCTTCTCGCAATGAGTCGTTCCTTCTCAACAAGCAGCCCGACTCATCCCTTCTCGCCATCACATTAAATGCACGTTCAAAAATCATTATTGGTTTAGTCTAAAAGTCTTTATGACTCATCAGGCTCTGTCAGCACCAAGCATTTACTGTCGTTTGCCACTAACCACCTAGATGATCCATCTTCACTAGCAGTCGACACCTATCAGCTGTCTATCGAGCCAGCTGTCTGCCTAGACTCGGCTCAAGTTACCTATCTGCCATTCTAATCCTCTATAAAAGGAAGCCATGTAGCTCAAGGTAACTCTCTAGGTCTTTCACACAACTGTTAAGCGATGCGGAAGCCAAACAATCAAACCAACGTGCTATGAGAAATCAAATCAAACGAACGTCGAGAGAAGGCCAAACGAACCAAATCAATGCCACAAACACAAATAACCAATTTTAACGTGGTTCGGCAAGTTGCCTACGTCCACAAGGCAAAAGAAGGGGATAGGAATTTTCACTAATAGAGAAGAAGAGTACAAACTGAGATTACAAATCACTCAAACTCACCAATTAATCTCACCAACAAATCTCTAATTCTCTTCAAACAAAACTCTAACCAATAACTCAGAAAATACCTCTTTTTCTATGCTCCAAATATCCCCAATTTTCTTCTTAATTCTCTCTTCCAATTGTTCCATATATATAGAAATCCTAAAATCATAAACATACTAGGAATTCTAAAATAAAAAACAAAACAGATTAGGAATCCTAATAACATGTTACCAAAACAGATTTGGAATCATGTTACCAAAACAGATTAGGAATCTCAATAACTTGTTACTAAAACAAATTAGGAAACATATTAGGAACCTGCTATCCAACAATTCTCCACATCGACAAAGTTTTTCCAAAACTGAGCCGACACCTAGGGCTGTCCATCCGGGCCGGCCTGGCCTGGGGCCTAGCAAAACCGAAGCCCGGACCCGAGCCCGGTTGGCCCAGGCCGGCATGGTTTTTTTGGTTTTTTATTTTTTATTTTTTTATTTTTTTTTAATTTTTAAAAATCCCCATAAATCATAAAATATACATAAAAATTATAGAAAATGACATAAATTTTTTAACTAACTTGAAATGATATAAATTACAAGTATAAAAAATTATAAAAATGAAAGATGATAAAAATAACTTCTTTATTAATAATCAGTAAATCCTTTACAAGTATAAATTTATTTTAGAATTTATCGCATCACAATAGATGAGTACATCCCAACTAGGTTGGCACCTACTCACCTATATCACTATCATTTGTAACTTTTACCGAAATAATTTATTACAAATTTAAAGCTAAGAAATAAAAATTACAATTTGATGAATATTATCTAATATTTATACCTATCTGCTAGTCCTAACTCTTCAAATTTATCTTTAATTCCAGCCATCCGATCGATGCCTTGTGTTCACTTCTCGTACCTCCACCAATCTTGTAAGCACATCATCGCTTGTACAGTATATGGATCTAAGCATGTCCTGTGGTCATTGATCAAACATCCTGCTATATATGCTGAAGGCGAATTCCGAAGCTACCGTCCAAACCTGCACTGTTAGTAAGTCACGAATCATAGTGGAAAGTATAAGATATGAAACTGATCCATATACTCTCTACCATTGTAAAATATCTAAAGAATTTCCTTGACATTTAACTAAGGAAGCAAATAAATATTCATCTATTTCAGAAATCTCTAATGCTGATCCAAGTCCAGATCCACCAGTTAGTTCGGCTACCATTACATACCTATCAAAACTTACACTTTTACCTCGGCTTGTGCTCGAAAGCGCCAAAGCTGTAGACTGTTATGCAACTACACCATGTCTAGCTGCATACTCATCATATAATGTTTGAAAATAATTTCTAACAGATAAATGATGAGAAGTAGCAGTAAGGGTGGATTCATCATCTAAGTCTATAATCTGTCCACCATATAATGATTGTAACAAACTTCGAAGGCCAATATCCTTCAAACATGGATCAATAAGAATCCACAAACCAGTATGTGACATAAGTTCTTCAATTATTAAATTTCATAAGTTCTTCAATTATTAAATTTGCAACATTAATACCAGTATGTGACTCTTCAATTACAATAAAAAAACAACTCTTTTAAACATTTACCAATTTTCATCAATCTAGTGTGCTGTGATACATAAATAACCAGTTTGCATTCTAGATGTCCAAATATCAGAAATTAAAGAAAATTTACAGTTTAAATTTTTAAAATAAGAAATTATTTTTCCTTGTTCCTCCTGATAATATTTTAAAATATCAGGTTGACAGGTTTGACGAGAAAATTTGGTAAATACAGGATAAAAACCATCTCTAAACAAATCTTTAAATTCATCATCTTCTACTAATTTAAAAGGAATGTTTTTAAGAACGATAAACCTGATTACGCATTTCCTGGCTCGAGCAGCGTCATAATTCCAACTACCAAGACTACCAGATAAGGAGGATTGAGAAATCATAGATTGTCGGATATCACCTTGAAGATTATGACCTTTGTTGAAAAATATGGCGTTTGAGGTGGTTGGTGCCGCTCTTATGATGAGCTTGGAAAATCTGGCCGCACAACGCACATTTAGCCTTATGGGTGATGATCCTACCGTG